CCAAACTTAGCCGACAAGCGGCGGTCGCTCGGTCGGTATATTTCGTTTGCGGACTAAGACAACGGAGTTTTTTTTTAATAACACATGATTTTCGGGACGATTAAACAGAAGGGACGAATAGGTACATTTCGTAATCATATTCACATTTAACTGTGGTATTTCGAAAGAAGATAACCCGCAACCGAGAATGATTTTCCTAACACACGTAGAGATTACCGAAGCCTTCTCTTTGTTTTATAAATAGCATTGATTTAATAATAAATAAGTTGTATGTGTATATCCGTCCACTGTGATATGAAATAATCTCGTCTGTCTGTAGCCTTGTCTCCCTACTTCCCCCCCCCCTCAAAAGAGACGTTTCACTGCCATGTATAACATGAATGTTGCTACCTCCATTAATTTGTTCAGTATTGATTGTGATCGTGTTTTCATTTTATGGCTGCCCTAATTGTCGAACGCGTAATTAAATAGCTTAATTTTGAAATCATTTTCCTACGATAGGCGTTGATTTACAGCTTAGGAATGTGAAGATTACACTTTTTCTTCACATTGGCTTATCGTTCTGATTACTCTCTTTTTCCTTGTTGGTTGATTTTCAGACTATTTGGCAATTTAAACGTTTCTTTGGTTGCTGTTCGTAGATCATAAATTCTAATAATCATATTTGAACTGTATAGTGGGTGTTGCATAGCCATAGCTTAAGCGATTAGTGGCTGGCTTCCCGCCACTGCGATATGGGCAAGTGGGATTTGTGATGGACAAAGTGGAGCTGGGGCAGGTTTCCTCCGAGTACTTCGGTTTCCCCTGCCAATCTTCATTCCATCAAATTCTCCACAAATAAGAATATCTAACTAATTCTAAATTGTAATCAACTGTAAACAATTGTAATTTTAATCTTACTCATATATTAAATTGTTAATATTCAGAATTAACTTGACTTGTCCTATATCATGTACCAATGATCTACAGTGACGAAATCAATCAATCAATCAATCTAGTTTCGTTTTCAGCGTGTAACACTTTGTCGTTAGCAAATGATAGCCTAAACGCCATATCGTGGGTTAAACATATTCCCCGTCTCTTCTAATTTCCACTGTCTAGTAGCACCGATCAAATTTTTGTGCTCCAATAAAATTGTAATGATGCTGCGCGAAATTATGCTAATTCACTGCCCTGACAGATACAGCACGCGTTAATTACGTGTAGTAAAGATTCAGTTAATACGTGAATTTGTCAGCAGTAGTCTCTGTTGGGAAGAACAGAAAACTTGCATGTTGTGACAAATTGTCAATGAAAAATCCGTCGAGTGTAACAATGTTTTTAGGTCACTTATTTATCTCACTTGCCTTACATGTTTCGGTTCAAGAGAAACCATCATCAGAGGCACGTATTACAAACACATGAAAACACTGGCGTTGTTTAATGTACACAGTATGTAAGCTGCGTGGACGCTGTTACAGATGTCGAAGTGTAAAAGCACAACACGTTCTAGTAGCATTGAATGCACGTACAACTCTTGCATTCCATCTGAAAATTGCCCTCAAATTGAGCCGTCAATGTTAAAATAATTTAAAAGTTTAAAACATTTAAAGTAAAATGTTCGGCTCCTTCTTGTTGATTCGTCCCGATGATGGGAAATATCAACTTGAGGTTGTGTAGGCTTATGGTCGGATGTTTCTTACGCGTTGTGTGTTGTGTACTCTTGTCTTCTTGTGTCTTCTTATTTATTTATTTATTTACACATTCAATATTTGATTTTACCACTGTTATGTTGATTACAGTTTGTGTACATGGGCCATAGATGGCAGCGCTTAATGTTATCAAATACTCTCAGGAGTATGTTTTGAAATAAGAACAGGTGAATTAAGAGAATCAGCATTCGATAATCGATTTGTCTCTCCGTGGTGAACTCTCTGATCCCTTTCTGATCGTTGGAAATATGCAGTGAGAATAGTGATCCGTCGGAGCAGCTATCACTGTGGGCGACGTTCGAAAGCACTCAGCGTTGGAAAGCGTTAGGCGCGGTTGTTGTGCGCGATGTGAGCGGATGCGAATGATGCGAGGATGTGAGTGTACCGGAATTGCTAGGAAGCGGTGGTTAGAGTCCATTTTGATTTTGGAGTGGTTTAGTTGTAGGCGTTTTAGGTTTTCAGGTAGGTAATTGCATGATGTTTCATTGTTAACTGTTGCAGTTACATAGTATTGAGATTATAATAATACTGACAACGGTTTGATGGTAATAGGGATGATGTTTCTAGCTTATTTTTGATAGTTTCTTTGTTTTCATTTTTTCCCGGCAAAATTCTAGCTTCACGTAGGTTCGGTTCATTGTTAGTAAAAGGTCTTTATATTGTTTTGTTTAAGAATTCTAGCCGTTTTACCATTTTGGCATTTATTTTGTCTTAGTATTTTATTTGTCATATCTAGTGGTTCTGACATACGTCGCAGTTCAACGTAATTGAGGATGGATTGTCCACATGTATGGCTCGCTAAATTGAGTAATTACCGGTAATTTAATCCACTGTTCGGTATTCTATTAACCAAGTATTATGTTGGCCTCGCAATAGCTCAAGCGGTTAATCGCTGCGGCCCGGCTTCGATCCCCGGTCTTGTCAAGTGTTATTTGTGGTGGACAAAGTTGCGCAGGGTCAGGTTTTCTCCGAGTACTTCGGTTTCCCTTGCCATGTGCTCCACAATCACCTTCACTTTTCATCTGGCGCTGGTACAATAGGCCAGAAGTGGCCACAGTACAAGGGATTTAGTCCCATTCCACTAGCAATAAAATAAAAGTATTATGCTAATCGTAGGTAGTTGATAGGTATACACTGTTCAGCATGTTAACAAACAAGAACTATATGCTTGTGTTTTGGACCTGCATTCATAATGGAAGTCATATTTGTGGCAGAAAAAAAATTATGAGTAACAAAGGGACGTGTAGCTCATGCCATAAGTTTTTCTAGGTGTACTTCACCATGCTGCAGTCACTCCATTTGAATTTTTAGTTATTTATTTGTTGGTGAACGTAATGGCAACATACCCTGACTTTACTCTATTCCAGCTCTATTCTGTATGCACCAGAGGCATGGTGGTTACTACTTGCAGGAGTTCACACTTCTCCATACTTATTGCCTTTATTGGTGATGTTTTCATATAATGTAATGGGTTTTAAAGTTTTGAAGAAATGTAGGTAGATGGCAGTAGTTATACTGCTATACTGCCCACATTTACAGCCAAAGCACTGGAAGTTGGTGAAACACTTGAAATTATTAAAAAATTTACTCTGAGCAAAATTTCATGATTTTCTTTGGCTGAAAAAGTGCACTGTAAGGAATTTGTAATGCCTGTGCCATGAACAGCACATCACACGTTAAAGCTTAAAGACAAAATAGAATTGGAATTGCGAGGAAGAAAAATAAAATTTTCTGGAAAGGGGGACATGGTTGTGGAGTTGAAGTTAAAGAGAGAGCAAAGCAGTCAGGGCATAGATAGTCAACTACTATTACCAGTGGAAAAATAAATACAAAGAGGAGCTTCACAGTTTCTGTTAAAACATGAAAAGGGACAGGAGGAAGCTGCTTTGAAAGGTATTACAGAAATGGATTTTCTCTGTGGTTTCATGATGCAAAAAAGGAACTGTCATACCTTTGTGTCAGCCATATGAGAGCAGGCCACTCTAGTCTTAAAACAATCTTAAGTAGATTTAACATTGTGTCCAGGGCTCAATGCGAATGTGATGGGCTGCAAGCAGAAGAATGTCTTAAAGGATTGTAAACTATATGAGGACCAAGGGGCAACAGTGATGGATATTTTGTCTGAGAAAAACAAAAACTAATACCCAAAGTTAGTTACAGAGCTCATAAGACTAGAGAAAAAAAGATGTGTGTAAGACACTCATTACTTCATAAACAGAATTCCTAAATTTATATGTAAAAAAGAAGTAAATGTACAAAATATTAAATATTTAAATCGCCCTGGGGCCTCCATTATTAAACCTACTAACCTAACTTGTGCACTGTTCACTTTAAAAATTAATATAAAATCTCCTAATTAATTTTATGAACAAACATTTTTGGAAAACACCAGTGATCCTAGAAGTGCTTGAGGGTGTGATATTTCTGGAAACATTTCCCTTCGTGAAGTGGCATTACACAGAACTTGCAAATGTAGACATAGTCCTTTTTTGTGAACTGTGCAAACATGGCATTGCCTAGAAGGATGCTTCCCCTTGGAATGTTCACTCTTCACAATTTTCATGAGGGTGTGTTTCCATATATCACCCGAGAGTCCACATGAGGCCTGCGTAGGGTGGGAGTTGATGGGCCTGGTTGCACTAAGTCTGTGTCTGACTCTGGTTCTGCCACCACCATCTGGTCTGTAGCCCAGGCCTTTGCCACATTCATCAGAAATGCTTTGTATTTCAATTTTGAATCATGGTTTAGATTTTTGTGTTTTTTTTTTTTTTGAGATTTTTTTACTGTCCCCACAATGTTATTACCCCCACTATCGTCGGAGCTACTGTCACTTTTACTGTCTGTGGCCACAATTCGTTGTTCTTCCCTGTCACTGCCGCTCTCTGAGTCACCATTACTACGTGTCTCACAAGCCAGGTCAGCTAGCTCATCGGAGAAGAATTTGTCCTTGTCCATACCCCACCACTAATTACTGGTTGGTACAAACAGCTCGAATAGCAGCAAAGCATTTTCGTTTATAGTGCGATAAGAAAACAGCAAGGTCAAGTTACTGACAAGTAAGCAAACATTCCAGATTTTTATTATACCTTTGCGTGCAACTTGGGTGGCGTCAGAGCAAGATATAGTGTGTTACATCCTAACATGTCCTAAAAGCATGATATCATGTGACTGGTCCACCATGTTTAAAAGCCAAAAGCATGATATTATGCAACCGGTCCTCAGTGTGTTGTTAATGCACTCTTAGAATTAATAGATATTGTCACGTATTGGGTGTATTGGGCGTCATCTACGGGGACTTCTCGATGCTCCAGTACGGACTGCATCGCTTCCGGGTGGGGCTCAATCTTTTCATGGGCAGTTCTCCTCTCTTCCCCCCAGGCTTTCCAATCGGCCATCAGCTCGTTGTGGCGGGTGTCGGCCTTCGCCTCGTTTGCCTCCATTAAGGCCAGCAATTCATTCTTTGCCTTTTCTTGGTCGGCCTCTGCTTTTACTTGGTTAGATTTCACGTTGGCGTCAATTCTTGCCAACATTTCCATCATCTTTTCCATGTCCATGTTGTAGCAGTAGGGCGCGTGTTAAAGTTCGAAGTCACTTCTGACACCAATTGTCACGTATTGGGTGTATAACGCGACAAATAAGTTCATGCCGTTGTCCCAATATAGCGAATTTATTTCTTTCGCTCGTTTACACACACTTTTACAAACATTTGCCCTTGCAGTGTTACAATCACTGCTCACAATATTTGGCGAGACACTGGACTCTCTTCTCCGAAGGCTTGATGACGACTGGCTTCTTAGCTGGCTCGATGAAGACTGAAGACTTCTCGTCGAAGCTGGGCTTTTATAACCTTGGCCGCTGCTAGGTAAGGAACCCTCTGTTATAGCGGTGGAGACGTTGCCTTATTGGTTCTGCGTTCCCTACGCAATAACCCATTGTTATCGCGCTGTCTCTGTTGGGATGCTACGCGTGTTTGTCGTAACCGTGGAGATTCGATATTCTCGATAGAACGGCTCACTGTTGGAATTACAGTATCACTATTGTTACTTCTTATGCAACGGTCTGTTCTAGCGTTTCCATAGAAGTGACTCTTCTGGATTCCAGACACGTTACAATATATTAAAAAAAATGCAGGGTGACTGCCATGATAGACTAAGATGTTTCTAAACTGCTACAGAGGGCTGGATGGCCATTACTTGGGCCTCATTTGCATCTACATTTATTTTTGAAAAAAAAAAGTGTTAAAGATAAAAGTTGTGATACCATTCACCTAGTTCTGAATTGATGAGTGTAATTGGATTGAGGGAGTACTAGAAGGAACTAATAAGGAGGTAAACACCTTTTGAGAGAAAGCTTTGATACATTCCATGCACGTAGAAGTTGTGAGCTACCATAATAAGGTCCTGAAACTGAGGAACATGAATTTTTTAATTATTTTTTGCCATATTAAAATCCTAATGAGAGCAGTAACGTAAGCTAATGAAGACTACTCAGCTGACATTACTTTCATCAAACCCAGGCATGGCGAATTTTGTTATTCTTTATTACAACCTAATCTAATGAAAACAGAAGTTGTCTAATGTAACTTTCAAATAAATTGTGGCAAATTTTGTAGACTGATATGAAAATTATAATTAAAGCACTGATAAATCCCAGACCCACCTAACCTAACTTTCATACAGTTTTCTATTTTTATTATAGTACAGTACATTGTTTTAATCCAGTTATCTTACCCACCTTTGTTACTAATTAATTTTGATAATCAGTGTTCTACTGTATTTTTCAACTGTAAGATAGAGCATGTAGATGATTTTTGTATGTGTGTATTGCCATCCTGAAAATTCTGCTTATGTCAAAAGCATAAAATGGGACATGTTTAATTTGAAAAGTAGGGCTTGTTTTCCCAACACAAAATTTTGACCTTTCTCAATTAGATTACGTGTGAACAGATTTACTCATGCGTATTGTAACATGAGCAATAAATAATTCCACAGAACCCACAAAACTGGTGGAGGCATTAGAATAACATGGAAACCGGAAACTAAGAAATCCTCGCTGTGTACAGGGCTAGATCTTGCATAGGGCAGTGGGCTGGAGGAGTTACTGGAGTTATCACTGCTGAGTGATTTGGATGACTATGGTGGAGATGATTCCATGGGAACTTCAGGCCTGACAGGGCCTCCAGCTGTAGTTAAGGCACTTATAAAATAGAAGCTGTAGTGGAGGCTGAAGTAAAATCCCTGTTGGTGGACACCTGAACTACTGTGTTCAGCTTCACTGGAGCCCCTTATTTTCAAGATATTTTCAGTCTCACTTTGAAACTTCTCATGAGGTTTGTGTCATGTTCATTTGAGGTGCATGGTAAACCTGGCACTATTATGAATTGTATTAGCGCAGTGATGAATTGTTCACACTGTAGAATTACACAGTCTTATTTAGATTTGAATATGCACATTGCATCCACT